ATATTCTCCTGATAATATAAATAATAAGAAACGAATTTTCGAAAATTTTCACGCTTGCGTTATTAGGAGAACATGATTTGTAAAGAGGTCATCAACGCATCATCGACCTCCTCGCAAAATATATTCTCCTGATAATATAAATATAAGAAACGAATTTTCGAAAATTTTCACGCTTGCGTTATTAGGAGAACATGATTTGTAAAGAGGTCATCAACGCATCATCGACCTCCTCGCAAAATATATTCTCCTGATAATATAAATTATAAGAAACGAATTTTCGAAAATTTTCACGCTTGCGTTATTAGGAGAACATGATTTGTAAAGAGGTCATCAACGCATCATCGACCTCCTCGCAAAATATATTCTCCTGATAATATAAAATAATAAGAAACGAATTTTCGAAAATTTTCACGCTTGCGTTATTAGGAGAACATGATTTGTAAAGAGGTCATCAACGCATCATCGACCTCCTCGCAAAATATATTCTCCTGATAATATAAATTATAAGAAACGAATTTTCGAAAATTTTCACGCTTGCGTTATTAGGAGAACATGATTTGTAAAGAGGTCATCAACGCATCATCGACCTCCTCGCAAAATATATTCTCCTGATAATATAAATTATAAGAAACGAATTTTCGAAAATTTTCACGCTTGCGTTATTAGGAGAACATGATTTGTAAAGAGGTCATCAACGCATCATCGACCTCCTCGCAAAATATATTCTCCTGATAATATAAAATAATAAGAAACGAATTTTCGAAAATTTTCACGCTTGCGTTATTAGGAGAACATGATTTGTAAAGAGGTCATCAACGCATCATCGACCTCCTCGCAAAATATATTCTCCTGATAATATAAATTATAAGAAACGAATTTTCGAAAATTTTCGCGCTTGCGTTATTAGGAGAACATGATTTGTAAAGAGGTCATCAACGCATCATCGACCTCCTCGCAAAATATATTCTCCTGATAATATAAATAATAAGAAACGAATTTTCGAAAATTTTCACGCTTGCGTTATTAGGAGAACATGATTTGTAAAGAGGTCATCAACGCATCATCGACCTCCTCGCAAATATATTCTCCTGATAATATAAATTATAAGAAACGAATTTTCGAAAATTTTCACGCTTGCGTTATTAGGAGAACATGATTTGTAAAGAGGTCATCAACGCATCTTCGACCTTCTCGCAAATATATTCTCCTGATAATATAAAATAATAAGAAACGAATTTTCGAAAATTTTCACGTTGCGTTATTAGGAGAACATGATTTGTAAAGAGGTCATCAACGCATCATCGACCTCCTCGCAAAATATATTCTCCTGATAATATAAAATAATAAGAAACGAATTTTCGAAAATTTTCACGCTTGCGTTATTAGGAGAACATGATTTGTAAAGAGGTCATCAACGCATCATCGACCTCCTCGCAAAATATATTCTCCTGATAATATAAATTATAAGAAACGAATTTTCGAAAATTTTCACGTTTGCGTTATTAGGAGAACATGATTTGTAAAGAGGTCATCAACGCATCATCGACCTCCTCGCAAAATATATTCTCCTGATAATATAAATTATAAGAAACGAATTGGTTTGTGGCTCTTAATGCTCTTTACTTAATTATCATGTTGTTAAATATTTTTCTATATTCGAGTGTCACCGTGTGAATGATGGCAAAGCTATGACATGTATAGCCGCTTGCTATACGTCGTCAAGGCCAAACATATGATATTAATTGATAATTCTCTGCCGAAATATTTTGCGTACTATATATACACGCGACATTTTAAATAGAAGTATATTTTATTTTAAATTAATTAATTATGAACGATTGATGTATCACGGAACAATCGCGATATATCGCAAACCACCATCATGTTTCGGAGAGCGACCCGCCCACCGCTTCGCCGCGATCGTAGTATCTATATTTAATTAATTAATCGAACGATTGCATTCCGATTCATCTTTTCGTTCGGTATATATAAGTATTTAATCAATTAATCGAACGATTACATTCGGCTTGCCATTTTACTCGCCGCGTTACAGTGAATATCGCGCGAGATAGGCAGGCAACATGCGCGGCGTCGTGCACGATTTCGACCGTCCGCGCGCAGACGAAAAACAGCGAATTTATATCTCGACTTCCAGACGCGATTTCGTTCTTTTTGCAAAATTCTACACCATTTCGCGGCACTACCGTTTAAATCTCGTCCCGATCGCCCGAAGAGCGGCTGACTTACAGTGAATATCCGAAATTTGCTTCTTGGACTCACACTTAAATGTAATATTTATACATATAATATAAATATATAATATAAATATATAATATAAATAATAGCAAGGAAAAGAGAGAACATATTAATATTTTTATATAATAAATTATTATTAATTAAATTATTTATATTTTTATTTATATTATTTATATTATCAGAGGGACATATATGTTATCCTCTGAGAACCTTCGTGGACATTTGTTTTGTAGTTCATATTTTGTTGTTAATGTTCATAGAGGGAGTATCACTTCCAGGGATAAAGCGAGCCACGACATCTCTCAGTCTCTCTGTGCACGCTCGGTCGGCTTCGGTCAGCTCCAATCAGCGTTGAGCGCATGCGCATCGCATCGCCTCCACGCTGTTGACAGATATGACCAGAGAGAAACCTGAGAGCGGCCACCTCGCTTTAACGGGCACATTGTCCTAATGCGCCGCCTGACAAAGTGGACGTCAACTAAATCCATTACAGGCGATAATAATACATGGTTCGTATCTGAGCTATGGTTCATGTCCGAGCTATGGTTCATATCCGAACTATTCACATGAGATGGACATGAGAGTTAGACAAGAGCCGATAATCTATCGTTCTGCTTTTGTCTCACCAATGATGGCAAATCACGCGGCGGTAGGCATGAGGCGAGCGGTGATTTTCTATCGTAAAGCTCATGTCTCCTTCCATTTCTTGTCGGCCCCGTCTCATATTTCACGCGCTACATTTTACATAATTCGGATAGGATTTCGAAACGACTTCGGGCGCCCAATATATAGAGACAAATTTATTTATTTATTATAAAGACATTTATTAAAAATGTTTTTTAATAAAACCTTTTCTTTTTATTTAAAATAATTATATCTGTATTTCATAAATGCTTACAACTCTCATATTATTATAATAATATTTTATTTTATATATTTTTTAAATAATTAATTAATTAAAAAAATATACATATCAATGCGAATGATATCTTACTTTGATGCATTTGCGTGTTAGTGTTAGACATGAAAAACATAATGTAATATAACATCTAGTGTATCGAATGATGTGAATAATTTTCTTGTAAAAAAATAAAGTTTTAATAAGATTGCTCACACATATACGGCACAATACAGCATCTAATGCGCTAGATATTGTATTACATTATGTTTTTCATGTTTTTATGATAAATAAAATCCTGTCTCATGTCTTGATGAGATCGATAATTCGGATGATTAATTTTATGTAATCATTTTTTATGTAATTATATTTAATTTTAAAAATAATAATAAAAAAATAGATAAATCAGTTTGTGAAACTATAATTCTTTGTATGATGATATACAAAATAACTTTACATTAACAATAAACAGATTCTTTAATCTTTTATTAATATATAAAAGAATTACGTTTCACTGTCGTGATTTGTCTGCGGTACTTCATTATCTGTGCATAACAGATCTCTTCTATTGTTTTAAATTTATATTTTTTTAACGATCTGTAAGATCTGTGTATTTTGCAACACGTATTATCGTTTCTTTTATATAACACGACACATTATTTGTAAATATTTCTGCGTGTACACGTACGTGCGTATATGCTTTTATTGTGTTGGTTGTGTAATTTTTGTATTTTTTTATCACGTGTTGTATTTCTTTTTTATTTCTATTTTTAAGTTTTTTTAATTTTATTTTTATATTTTTTTGTTTTGCATTATAATAAACAATCACTATATCGAGTCAGTGCTCTATAGATAGTTATTATGATAAGTGCGTGTATAGAAATAAAGTAAATAATGTAAGAATGGGAGATTTTCGCATAGGAAACGGCTATTCCGATTTCCAATGCAGAAGGATACAAGATGCAATACATAGATAGGCAATACAAGTATGTTTTTGTGCAATAATTGTCATTATTTTATTAATTTTTTGCCTTTTCTGCTCCCAAATTCAATACATATTATTTGTTAGTTTATTATTTCATAAAATAAAAATAAAAAAAACGACAGCAGGGAGATTCGAACTCGGGTCAGCGCCGTGACAAGGAGTCATCTTACTTGCACTGCTACGCGCTATTTTGAAGGAGCACTTTATCGAATTGATCATAACCAACACGCCTGACATAAAAAAATTTTTTTTTACCAAACATTCGGTATACCAATTGCTATGGCAGCTTGAAGTAAGCATGTAATCGTAATTTTCATAATGTGTTGTATTTTTGTTACAGGACATACAAAGTTGGATAACTTGTCTGCCAATACCCTTAAAAAATTAGGATTATGTGAAGATCATTTCGTTATTACATCATAACGAAGAACGTGAAAGTGCGACGAGTGAAAGAGAAAAGCAAAATCGTAAGCTCGTCGCGTGGCAGTCGCGTGGTCTGTCATTGATGAGACAAAAACAGAACGATGAATTATCGATTCTTATCCGACTGTCCATCTCTGAATAGTTCGAACATGAACCCATATCATAGACACAAACCATGTTTCGTTACCGAGCGTAATGGACATAGTTCACGTCCACTTTGTCAGACGGCGCGTCAAGCATCGAGAAATGTGCCCGTCGAGGCTGGTGGCCGCTCTCAGGTTTCTCTCTGAATCAGGAAAAAAACCTCGATGATCACTCTTATTATTTCTCTCTCACTCACTCTCTCTCTCTCTCTCTCTCTCTCTTGCGCTATTACGCATGCGCGAGATTTGTTCCTTTATCTTCCTTCTTATCATTGAGTGCAACTAAAACGAACAAACTGAGACTTAGATGACGTATGATACACATATGCTGCCGGAATGAGAGGAAGATAGATATGCCAGTTATTTTTCGAAATATTTTTTATCTGTTATTTCATAATTATTTATATTATTAAGTGTTCTGCTGTATCAAAATGTTATCACTAGGCTGTCTGGTCTGTTGTGGAATATCACTGGCTGTATTTATTTTAATTTTGGTACGTATCGAAATTTTCCTGTCTTATGTTTACATTTTTTTTGTCAAGGATTGTATTATTTTACATATAATTTAAGAAATAATTACGCAGTATTTTATAAAAAAAATCATATAAATAATTATACAATGTCTGTTTATAAAGATATAAATATTTTTTTTTAGATTTGCATAATAATATATATAACAAGTGAACAGTATCCCAAAATTTGGAGGGATGAACAAGAAAAATTCTTTTTGAGCCAAACAGAGATGAAAGAAGCATTCCCTTCGATACATGATCCCTGGACAGTGCAGCTTAGTGTCATTATACCTGCTTATAATGAAGAGCACAGATGTAAGATTTGATGAACATATATATATATGTATATATATGTTATATTTTATTTATGTATTATATTTGTATAATTTTTATTTGATAGTGCCAACAATGCTGGACGAATGTTTGGAATATTTGGAAAAGCGTGCAAAATCTACTTGTAAATTTACTTATGAAGTGATAGTAGTTAGTGATGGCAGCACAGATAAAACTGCAAATGTTGCTCAGTATTATGCGTCAAAATATAACACACTGAAAGTGTTAAATCTCGTTAAAAATAGAGGGAAAGGTGGTGCTGTAAGACTGGTTAGTACATTTGGTAAACTAAGCTAAATTTTATACATAAAATATGTTAAACTTTATGTTTCATCTCTTGTTTAAGTCTTTTTATCATGATACTTAATATGATAATTTTAATATAAAATTTAATGTTTTATTATTTGATTTAAGGGTATGCTGAGTGCAAGTGGCAGCGCTTTGTTATTTGCAGATGCAGATGGTGCCACCAAGTTCAGTGATCTACAAAAATTAGATGATAGTTTAAGGAAAGTTTTAGGATGTAAGTTATGTACAGTATTTTTAAAAAATTAAGATTCTCCTATTATTATCTACAGATTATATACAGGGTCGCCTCGAACGTACCAGTCAGACTTTAAGCTCTTATAGGAAATTTAATTCTGAACAAAAAATTTCCTATAAACATAGATCGTAAAATGTTTCCTTAAGAAGTTATCGCTCAAAAACCTCTGATGAAGGAAGAGCAAAAGGTGAAAAGAAAATGAAATGAAAAGAAAATGAAATAAAAAGAAAATGAAACTAAATAAATTTCTTGAAAAAAACGATAAAAAAAATAGCACGTAATAGTAGGAAATGAATAAAGACATTTTTCAAGAAATTTATTTAGTTTAATTTTCTTTTTATTTCATTTTCTTTTTACCTCTTGCTCTTCCTTCATCAGAGGTTTTTGAGCGATAACTTCTTAAGGAAGCATTTTTCGACCCATGTTTACAGGAAATTTTTTGTTCAGAATTAAATTTCCTATAAGAATTGTTCAGAATTAAATTTCCTCAAAGTCTGGCTGGAACGTTCGAGGCCACCCTGTATTTACATCTAGGAATAATAATTCTATTATTTTTTTTAGACAATTACAAATTTTACATTATTAATTTTGACAAATTTGTTTCAGTTGATTATACAAGCAATCCTGCAGATACAGCACTCTCGAATGTGATAATATGTGGATCAAGAGCGCATTTAGAAAAGGAAGAAACCGCAAAGCGATCTTACTTCCGACTGTTCCTTATGCACGGGTTCCATTTTTTAGTCTGGTTATTGTGCGTAAAAGACATTAGAGATACGCAGTGTGGATTTAAGCTTCTAACGAGAACATCAGCGAGAACGATATTTGAAGCGTTGCATGTCGAACGCTGGGCTTTTGACGTAGAAATGCTTTATATTGCACAGACTCTTAATATTCCTATAACTGAGATAGCGGTAAATTGGACTGAAATTGAAGGTTCCAAGATAATACCGTTTTGGAGTTGGTTACAAATGGGCATAGATTTATTTCTCATCTGGCTTAGATACAGTATTGGCGCATGGAAGATAAATAAGCCCAAGATGTAATTTTAACGTATGCAAAGTTTGTGGACGAATCTTTATTTCCATCAATCTTGTTTCATCTTTTTTGTAAAAATATATTTATATAATGAAAAATATTATATAGTATGGAATATTATATATAATGTGTGTTTTTATACAGTATGTATGTACCTTAAAAGATCCATAATGGCACAACAGATATATAAATATATTTCCTATAAATATAGATTAAAATGTCTAAAAATTGAATTATTAAAAAATTGTTAAATATATAGGAAGTCAGACTAATTAAATCTCAGGAAGAAATTTATAATTAGTTTAATATAAATTTATATTTAATAAGTTAGTTGATCAATTTAAATATTTATTCTGATTCTTATAAATTTACATTTAATAATTTTTATATTAATATTTTATAATATATTAATTTTTATATTTTTTCTTATAAATTTATATTTAATAATTGAATAAACTTCCAAACTTGCCATTTGATATCGAGAAAAGTTTATGTATTTTGAAAATGGCGCACTATTTAGTGACGCTAGTGTACGATTCCACTATTCGAAATTTTAACGTCACGATTAATCAACCGACCAATGACAGTCTTGTGCAATTTATAGCGTATCAGAGAAACTATACAGAGTGACGTGTTCGAATAACAACCACATCAGCCACATCTCAGAAAATTTCAGTGCAGGGTGCAGGCCGATTACGTTTAGGTCAACAATTGTCTGCGTAACGTCGCGCAAGTTATACTTTATTTGATCTTGCAAATTGATTTGACCGTTGCTGATTTTTCACGTGGAAAAAATGTCTTTCGTTTCGCCGATGCCTAGCCAGGAATTTCTCTGGAGCGTATTCCAAAGGTAATAATGCTTTGTAAATTAGTCACGAGATTAAACGTATCATTATTTTTTGAAAGAACCTTGAATGCTTCCTACCTCCAGTTTCTATTTTCTATTTTCTCATTCCATTTTCTCATGTTCATGTTCTGACATTATCATATATATTCATAAAATTATAGAATAAAGATTGAAATAATAAAAATAATAATAAAATAATAATAAAATAATAATAGAGATGTGATATTTAATTTTGGATAATTAAGGAGATGTTTTGGCTTAGGGTGGATAGAGACAGATCTGGTTCAATTACTGCAGACGAATTGCAGCAGGCTCTCTCAAATGGTACATGGACACCATTTAATCCAGAAACTGTTCGTCTAATGATTGGTAAGAAGTGTTTTCAAATGACCATGTAAATTTCTGATTTTTATGTAATTTTCTTGTAATTGCTTGTTGAAATTTTATAGATAAATTATCCTGCAATATTAAATAAATATCTAGTATCTATTGCTTATTGCTAGAAAAACTAGTATTTAATGCTAGATATTAATTTGCATGGTCTTTTGAAATTTCTATCATTTTGTTCTTTAATTTTGTTGGTACAGGTATGTTTGACACTGACAAAATCGATCCTACTACAGGTATGTTTGATAAAAACCAAACCGGTACTGTAAGCTTCGAGGAATTTGGAGCATTGTGGAAATATGTTACCGATTGGGAGAATTGTTTTCGATCATTCGATCGCGATAACAGCGGTAACATTGACCGCAACGAATTGAAGACTGCTCTCACAAACTTTGGGTACCGACTAACAGATCAAACAATTGACATGCTTATACGAAAGTATGATCGTGCAGGTCGTGGTACGATATACTTTGATGATTTCATACAATGCTGCATAGTATTATATGTAAGTATACATGCTTGTATAAAATATACATATAATGATCTATATTATTCCATTGGACATTAAGTTGCTTGTCTGCAATGCACATTTATTAATATAATGTATATCTATTAATTTTTATACGTAAAAACATATACAAGCATGATTGATTATAATCTATAAATTAAATATGCGTTTCAATGCATTATTAATTTGAAAGTATAGAATATTTTAATACTAATTTAGTATTAGTTATTATTGATTAAGTGGTTAACGTTGTTAATCTCGCATGTTTAATCGCATTTTAAAGATAATTACAAATTTTTCAAATTTACAAAATACGAAGATGAAATAGTAAGCATATTTTTTATTTTTAGACTTTGACATCCGCTTTCAGACGATTAGATACAGATCTGGATGGTGTTATAACAATCCACTACGAACAATTTTTGGGCATGGTATTTAATCTTAAGATATAAACATCATGTATCATTTCTTTTCATGCCTGTTTTGATAGTATGTTATTTAAAGCTTAAAGGTATACTACTATAAGATGCCAAATATATAAAGATAAAAATTTCACTCTGCTACATGTGAAAAACAATCAGAATCTCTGAAATTAAAATTTATTTGCACATTTATTTACACTCATTGTTAATCAAATTCGATCCTATTATTAAAAAGCCTTTATTATAAATTAAAATATACATAAATTTATATATTTAATATGTAAGACGTAAATTTATATGACATACATATATATCACCAAGTTTGTTATAATCGATCACACAAATTATTTACGCGTGCGTGTGCTATAGATATATACTGTACCTTCATGTGACATTCCTAGTTTTTTTTTTTTAATGATGCACTTATATTTTTTCTCTTCTAAGAAATTATACAAATACATTAAATAGCCAAAAATTTAATTTAATATTAATTTTGGAAATTCTGAAATTCTATGAAAATGTTATAATTGATATATGTCAAAATATTACTGGTTAATACTACAAATGTTTAAATGACATTAGAGTTTGAATGTATACAAACTCTACATATATGTACACTTTCTACTATAAATGTAAACTGTACATGTACGCTTCCCAGGCTTACCGTTACATATAAATTATAATAATTAATGCAAGTTTACATATATAAGTACATTTTAATAATTTTAAGCAACGATGAAATAATTAAAGAAACAAATCTTGTATTTTCTTAACATATTACAACATTACAATTGTTATATATTTATGCGTATTAATATTTAGTGCTATATACACTAGTTATAGTTATGTATTTTTCTATCTTATTATTATTATAATGAACACACTACAAAAGAAATATATTTCTTTTACTAAACAATCTTTGTATCTATTATCTTAAGTGAGAAATTGCGGTAAGGGAAATTGAAATATAAAATAAACTTTACCTACCAAAATAAAAATTAGAGATATAAAAAATGAATTAATGCAACATAGTTATTTAATTTCTTGATACTTTTATTTTAATAATAACTTTAATTTTATTTTTACACAATAGATCCTAATAATTATTTCTTTCCTTCAGATTTACAGCTCCTAGATTTTTGTTGGTGTATCGATGCATTTATATCTCTTTCACAATTGGAATATGCCATGCCTAATCCAAAGCCAGCACCAGCTATAATAGGCCATCTCCTTCCTGTACGAATTTGAAATAATTTATATATATATATATATTTTTTTTTTATTACATATTTCTTTATATATTTCACTATGAAATAAAGAAATCAATTGACATTGAGATAATGTACAGTTTCTTTAGATTTTCTTTACTTTATTGATGAGATCTAAATGTGATCAAATATATTATCTATTTATTAAATTGCTATAATACAACAAAATATTGCATATATCTTTATATTAAAATTTATAAAAGCAAATTGAAAGATAAACATTATAGAAAATATTCTGAAAAAATTGATACTATTTTTTAACAATATATATGTATGATTATAATTTATATATCATTAAAAATTTCTTTATAAATTTGTTTCATAGATTATTATAGATTATTATTATTATTATACTAAATTTTGAAAAACGGAGGATGTTAAATGTATCATAATACAACAGATTTGTTTACTTGTGATTACGTGTTTATAATTAAATTTCTTGCACTTTTTGTCTTTTCTTTCTTATTTCTACAAAACTTCTGAATATAATCCAATTCTTAACTTAAACAGTGCAAGAAATTCAACCACAAAGACTCGAACTTATTAATGATGATTTTGAGAAGACAGTTGTAATAATAACTATAGTTACATCATAAGAGCATTACAATCATACATATGAATAGAGTGGTCTTACTCTTGAAGAAAAACAGAGAAAACACTCCGCCAAGGGCTACACCACCGCCTGAAAAAATTCAGATTCGTGAGTAATAGCGTCGCCAAAAGTGTACCTGTCACCGCGGCTACTTTGGAAATGTTAGTTACCTAGTTTGAGGATCGCATCCGTAAAGCAACGGTCCCACTTTCGCCCAATCTCGTCCTCGGCCCACACGGCGCCGGCCATTTTCGTGCTAAAAGAGCCGTTTCTGTTACGTCACTCGCACGCCAGGCACTCACGTGCGTCTAATCTGTCATATCGATCCTCGCTCTTCGTCGCCTCTCCGTTTCCTTTATGCGCGCGATTGCATAACATGTATAAAAATGACAAATGACGATGGCAATTATATAAATATCGAAAATCAAGTTTTCTCTGTAAAACGAGAGGAGATCCTCATTCGAGTGGGTTTTACTTTTGTAAAGCGCGCTTGTTCCGACAAGTTCGCCAACGTCAGATTAATATTTATAGTGTGTTCGAAAATATGTTTGGTCGGTGTTGGAAAAAAAGATAAAGTTGGCAGTATTGAAAACTCCCAGTGCTGCGTTTCGTTTCTTCCACTGGGATCATTAGGGCCGGTATTCATAATCCGATCTTATATTTGAGATCGTCTTAAGTTCGAGCTTGAAATGCTACGCAGCTATTTGATTGGTTGAATGAGGCCTTAAGTCAATCTCAAAGCAGACTTAAGACGATCTTAAATATAAGATCGGACTATGAATACCGGCCTAGGACCGGTATTCATAGTCCGGTCTTACATTTAAGATCATCTTAAGAACTCATTCCACCAATCAATAGCTGCATTGTAGTTATTTGATTGGTGGAATGAGTTCTTAAGATGATCTTAAATATAAGACCGGATTATGAATACCGACCTAGGATTGTATTGTACCGTATGTATAATATATGAAAGTGTTGCAATTACACTATTTTTATTATGGAACAATATATTTTACTCGAAAACATCATTTTTGAATCTTCGAGTAGTTCTTCAGATAGTGATGATAATAATGAAGAATTACAAAATATTTTATTCGAAAATAGAGGTAATAACAATAGAGGTGAAAGAAAAATAGTACCAAAAATAACAGATTATTTGGAAAATGTTACCAGATATACAAATATTGAATTTAAATCACATTTTAGGTAAATTATGTCACTTTATTATAATTATAACATTATTAATATTATATATTAATTATGTATTAATATTATACTAATATTAATACATTATTAAAACACACGTTCGTATTAATAATAATATATGTGATGTTATTAAACATATTATTATAAAATATATTTAACTACTTATTTACCTCTTTTAATATCTCAAGTAGCAAATTTTGTTAATCCTAGTGATCCCAGTGGGAGAAACGAAACGCAGCACTGGGAGTTTTTAATACTGCCAACTTCTTTTTTCCCAACACCAACCAAACATATTTTCGAACGCACTATTAATAAAATTCAGTCGCACACGTTGCGCATGCGCGCAATTATCAGCGTAAAAGAACGCACTCATGTTCGTACACTGTAAAAAAAGTATGTAAAATTACACATATAATCAGTGTAACAATTACGCTATTTATAACGGAAATATATAAATTCATGTACTTTTACAAAAATTAGTTTTCTTACTCTTTATTGTGTAAATATTCGTTTATATTTGATGAGAAATTACAAGGTTAAAAGTGTAATTTTTGGATTTTATGTAAATGTACAATTTTTTGTAATATTTATATAACATTTAAAAATTACATTTAATAAACGAATATTTACACAATAAAGAGTAAAATAACTAATTTTTGTAAAAGTACATGAATATATTTTATTATATATTCTCCTATATATATAGTGTAATAATTACGCTATTTATAAGGAAAATATATATATATTTAATTATATATTTTCCTTATAAATAGCGTAATTGTTACACTAATTATGTATGTAATTTTAAATTATTTATACAATTTCACATATTAAATTTAATTTAATATGTGAAATTGTATAAATTAGTCCCGATCTACAATGCTAATTTAAGCTCTAAGGCCGGAATTCATAGTCCGATCTTATATTTAAGATTATCTTAAGCTCTCATTCCACCAATTAATAGTTGCATTGTAGCTATTTGATTGGTTGAACGAGTTCTTAAGATGATTTTAAATGTAAGACCGGACTATGAATACCGGCCTAAGCCTTAAGAAATTGACCAATCACGGCCGAGTATTCTCTTCATCCTCGACTGTGATTGGTCAATCTCTTAAGGCTTAAGAAATTGACTAATCACAGCCGAGTATTCTCTTCATCCTCGACTGTGATTGGTCAATCTCTTAGGCTTGATGCTTAAATAGCCTATTGTATACCCGGCCTAACCGGTCAGCTGCGCAACTGGCGGCAAACACTTTTACTGCGCACGCGCGCGAAAATCCCTCCGTCGACATCCCTGTCCTCTCCGGACGTCGTCGCGGTTGACAGGCCTGCCGGTGTCCGTAGCAACTTAACTCACTCATGTCCCGTCGAGCGCGAGGGGCAGGATCGCTGGCCCGTCGTCCCCGAGGAATTTGATCGCGGGTGAGGCGAGTTCACGGGAGTCTGTGCGGTGCGAGATCCGGGTTAACGCGAAGAACCTCGCCGCGTCCGCCATGTCTGCGAGTGAATAGAAGTGCGAAACGGGACAGGAACGAACGCAAGAAGGATCGAGGGGGCAGCCGCACGCTTGTCAGAGCTCGGCGTGCCGTCCGAGCAACGATATCTAGACAAAGAGAGGGAAGGAGAGAGACAAAGATAGCGGATATCGAGTCGTCGGGTGATCCCATCACGAGCAACGGCAGGGGAAAAAAAAGATACATATATAAGACACATATCCCTCTCGAGCCTAGGGAATCTCGGCGCCGCGCCGTTGCCTGTCCGCTAACGGGTGTCCGCGAATTATCTCCCGAGGAGGTGGAGAGATCCGATCGCGCGCGAGCCCTCGCTCGCCGCGTAGAACCCCGATTAATGGAGGCGCCGAGGATCCTGGGACGCGCCAGCAACGCCACCAGCAACACCAGCGTCACCAGCGACAACATCAACAACAACAACGCCGCGGGAGACGCGCCGCGCGGGTGGAATGCCGTGCAGGTGGAACGTCGTCCCGACGTCGTCCGAGCGTGAGCCGCGCGATCCCCCCGAGTCCGCCGTCGACTCCCGGCGACCGTCGCCGGGACTGCTATGGGCCCGTCCACGACGCCGTTCGACGCGCCAGGATTCCTGGAGTGACGCCGACGCCCCCCCCCCCCAGGTCGCCAGGTGCCAGAGGCGCGTCCTCGGGAGAGGACACGCCGCGCCCTCCCGCCGAGTCCTCCGGGGTGTGAACGCCGATAACGCCTCTTCTGGGAGAGCGCGAGGATCTCTCCAGCGAGAGAGAGGTTAGACCGGGAATTGATCGCCCCCCCCCTGCCCCCCTGATCCCCCCTCGTCCCTCCTGCTCCTCTACCCCCCCTCGGAAGTGGCATCGTCCGACGAACTCTGACAGTCAACCGGCAGCCCCCTCGGCACTCGACTCCCCCCCCTTCCCCTCCTTGCTCGCTCTCTCTCTCTCTCTCTCTCTCGCCCGCGCGTCCCTCTCCTTCCGCGCCCTAGCGTATACACCACCGCGCCCGCGCGTGCCCTTTTCCGCTTGCGGAAACTGCGACGAGTGTCGTGTTCGTGTTCGTGTCCGTGTCCGTGTCCGTGTCGTGTGTTCCAATTCTGTCGTGTCGCGTCGCGGGGCGCCCGCGGCTTCCCGGGGGCGCGCGAGATATGCCCTGACACCGGGGATCGATCCCCGTCGTCGCTGATATCACACCCGGAGAGGTAATATTGTTGTCGTCGTCGCGCGATTGTGCGACTGCGTGCCGATCGTGCACATCGGGATAGATCGCGGCTCCTGGACTCGGGCGGGGGAGAGGGATATTTATACCGCCCGTGAAATATATATCTCGCGCCCGCAACCGTGGATAACAACGGCCGTTACGAGATGCAGAAACGGGGCGACAACCGCGGGGATAAGGAGCTCGGGGCGCGCAACCCCGAGCGCGAGCAGGAGGTCGCGCTCAACACGAAGCGGACCTCGAGGGGAAGCGGGAACGCCACCCGGTCGAACGTCCACTCGTCCCGGCACAGCGTCACCTCGTCGTCCAACGTGCTCATGGTCGGCCCGAACTTCCGGGTCGGCAAGAAAATCGGCTGTGGAAACTTCGGGGAGCTTCGTCTCGGTGAGTCTGATCGCCTTCTTTCCTCTTCCTCCCCTCTTCTCTCCCCTTCTCTTCTTCGGTCCTCCTTCTCCTCCCCACGAATCGGTCATTTTAAGGAGGTTTTGTACCTATTTTTAAAATATTGAGAATTTAATGAAAACTGTACGGAATGTCCTTACATATGTTTAGAATCTTCGGTACAATTTTTCAATCGATTCACTAAAGCGTTCACGAGTTGTAAGGATTTTAATTTGCACCGAATTAACATGTGTTTTTGTGGGAAACGTATTAAATTTTTTCGTACGTATTTTTTAAACGTATTAAACCGTATTAATGTATTAAATTCTCAATATTTTGAAAATAGGTACAAAACATGCTTCAGAATGTTTTGCACCTACTTTAAAAATATTGAGAATTTAATGAAAATTGTACGGAATGTCCTTACGTGTGTTTAGAATCTTCGGTACAATTTTTCAATCGATTCACTAAAGCGTTGACGAGTTGTAAGGATTTTAATTTGCACCGAATTAACATGTATTCTTATGGGAAACGTATTAAATTTTTGCGTACGTATTTTTAAACATATTAAAACGTATTAATGTATTAAATTCTCAATATTTTGAAAATAGGTACAAAACATGCTTCAGGATGTTTTGTACCTACTTTCAAAATATTGAGAATTTAATGAAAATTGTATGGAATGTCCTTACGTGTGTTTAGAATCTTCGGTACAATTTTTCAATCGATTCACTAAAGCGTTCACGAGTTGTAAGGATTTTAATTTGCACCGAATTAACATGTGTTTTTATGGGAAACCACGTCGATTCAAATGACAAAAACACATGGAAATAATATTCAGAATTTGTTTAAAATTTGCGAAAGTTTAGATACAGAAAAAATATTTGATGAATTAATATTATACAAGTATTAACTGATTAAAAAGATATGAAATATAATTCAATGAAATTAGCCATGTATCTGTCACAAGGCGAAATTCTCTGCCAAAAGTTAATTATTTCAATTAACAAAATTCGGAATATTTCAGTAAAAACGTAATAAATATTAAAAAATACATCTCTGCACTGTAGCTAAGATCAAATTGTAATATTCCACGCAATTTCTCATACTCAAAATACATCAAAAGTGGATATATTCATCACTATTGATTTTCAGCTATTTTTTTCTGGGATTGTACAAAACATCCTTAAAAGAATTAAGGAAAAAAAAAGAAAGAATGTACGAGCTTCCTTATCACTCGAGGAACGATAATTAATAGTTTTCGTTCCATTATCGCTTCTATTCGCGATAGTCGAAACGCGGTATTTATTTTTTCTTTTTTTTCTTTTTTTACAGGTAGATAAACAGTGTTTTGCAATTCGCGACCTCGATTTTAACGAGCGAGCTCTCTGAATTTGGAGTCTATTTTTCTCCGGCAATAATTCGTAAGGACAAGAACGTTATCTGAATTAGCGATTGAAAAGAGAGAGAGAGAGATATATATACAAATAGATAAGTCACAAAAAGATATACAAATAGATAAGTCACAAATTATATTTTTTAATTAATCTCTGGAGAATTAATTTATTTTTCGACAGAATCTTCAATCTTTTTGTGATCATTATTGTGGAAAAAAAATTCATTCTAGATTTATCAAAGGGAACGTGTCGTTGTCGAATTAAGGTCGCGAATTATGAGACACTTTGTATGGCAAAAATTCATTTCGAGAGAATAATTTTGGAAATAAATTTCCCCTTGTAAAATGATCGATTCGATCAACCTTGCGATATATCATTATGCGATTCGCAATAATTACATCGCTTTGAACCTTCTTGGAACTTTTCCAGGGTCCATTTTTTTTAAATCTTTATTCTTTAAGTCAATTTCTCTTTTATCTTTTAAACCGCAGTAGGATCGATGCCGATCTATGATTATCATCGCGATATTAAATGGATGAGTGAAAATGACATTTGTTGTTCGAGAGACTATGCATCCTAGATTAGGTTTATCTATTATAAACACATATACATACATGAATAACAAGTTCGAATTAGAAATGTATAAAATGCAAAGGAAATGAATATTCTGAGAAGAGAGATTTCAAAGTAACAGAAGTGAAAATAATGTTTTATGTAATTTTTTTTATTTTTCATAAATTAAAAAGCGAGCGAAACTTCAATTTCGTTCAGTGTTTATGCTCACGCATCGAGAATCGTGAGTAATATTTACCGCGTTATTGCAATCTGTTCTCGTAATAACAGTGTGCGAAATTAGGAATTATCAGTCCCTCGCGAGATTCGCGCCGTTTCTCGGTGACTGATGACGCATGTTGAAAACAATGATTCTAACATCGGGAGAGGCTAATGCTCTCTCGATTATCGCGGCAATGGCATAATACAAAGTGATTTTGCATACTGACGCTGCTGTATGTAGGCCGGAAGTCTGCAAATATTGATGCTCCTCCTACAAAGCACCAACGTGTTCTCGTAATCAAACAGCAAACAGTATGAATTATGATGATAAAACCTATTGTACATATATTTCGTACATTTTTAAAACTGTCAGAATTATATATAAAAAATAAATATCTGATCGTTAATGATATATATACAGGGTGGCCCCGAACGTTCCAGCCAGACTTTGAGATCTTATTGGAAATTTAATTCTGAACAAAAAATTTCCTATAAACATGGGTCGAAAAATGCTTCCTTAAAAAGTTATCGCTCAAAAACCTCTGATGAAGGAAGAGCAAAAGGTGAAAAGAAAATGAAATGAAAAGAAAATGAAATAAAAAGAAAATGAAACTAATTTATTTAAATGAAATAAATTTTAATTTATTTAAATGAAATAAATTTTAATTTATTTAAATGAAATAAATTTCTTGAAAAAAACGATAAAAAAAATAGCACGTAATAGTAGGAAATGAATAAAGACATTTTTCAAGAAATTTATTTAGTTTAATTTTCTTTTTATTTCATTTTCTTTTTACCTCTTGCTCTTCCTTCATCAGAGGTTTTTGAGCGATAACTTCTTAAGGAAGCATTTTTCGATCCATGTTTATGGGAAATTTTTTGTTCAGAATTAAATTTCTTATAAGATCTCAAGTCTGGCTGAAACATTCGGGGCCTCCCTGTATATATATATTATATATTATATATATATATATATATATATATATATATATAAAATATATAATTAAAAATTATATCAATTAATCAAATAAATTAAGTAGATAGAATATATATTATAAATAAAAAATATATAATTAAAGATTAAATTATATCAAATATATAATATATGATATAACATCAACAAATGTGTAATATAACATTTAAAATATATTTAAATAAATTTATATATATACATGAGGATATTTAAAGATATTTTATATAGTTGAAAATTTATTTAAATATATTTTAAATGTTATAATTACACATTTGTTGATATTATATTATATATTATATATTTGATATAATTTAATTTTTAATTACATATTTTTTATTTATAATATATATTCTACTTAATGATTTGATTTTTATATCATCGTTCTTTAATTAATAAAGACAGGTGCACACAATTGAAAAAAAAAACTTAAATTTTATAAATGACATATATAATTTCTTATATAAAGAAATGTCTGCAGGATAATTTTTTATATTAAAATCAGCATCGAAATATGGTCATTTTTTTCGAAGCTGCCGAGAATAATTCACCGAAAAAAAACTGCTCTTCTTTAGTGTATTAAAATAATTAATTTTTCTTCGCTGACGTTCCTTAGAAATGCAATGTGTTTCTCAACAGAGAAATCTTTTACCGTGCTGACGAAACAGGCTGACACAGCGAAACGGCTTTGCAGCTTTGATGCGCTTAGAGGAACATCTTAGTAACGTTTCATCGCGCTATAACTTCCAGGCTACGCGATGAAACGGGAAAGCATTAAATTTCCTAACGTAATGACCGCCGTTGTTGCTGCAAAAGCGTTAGCGCGAAAAATCCTGCCATGTTTTGTTGACTTTACACGGTTTACACGAACGTCCTAAGGCGTTATTACCTATTCATTCATAATGATGACTTTGTTGTTAATCATAGCCACGCAAACAACGCGTTTACTGTCATCATCGCGATTTGCTGATTATATCGTTCGTGACAAACTGCTAGTTACTTTCACCGGCTATTAATGTATCAGAGTGTATTCTGAAGAGATTAAGAAATTTTTTATAACGTACGTAGTTTTGTGTCTAGTTCATAAGACAAGGATTAAGAAAAAATATAAAAATAAGAATTCTTAAAAAGTGTAATATGTAATTTGTACATGTGATCCAATGCTTTTGGAGTCATTGGATCTGACGATAGCATTGTTATTTTTTAAAGGAAAAATTAAATTCGTGGAAAAATTAAATTTTCATGGAAAAATTAAATTCGCTTTAAAAGGCTCGAAAAATGAACCCTTTTAATAATAATGATTAGTGACAATTTTTAAACTGTTTAATTATTTATATTGTAATTTATCCTTGTTCGTTAAAATATAATAAGTGATTAAGAAATTTTTTATAACGTACGTTTTGTGTCTAGTTCATAAGACACAAGGATGAAGAAAAAATATAAAAATAAGAATTTTAAAAAATGTAATATGTAAATTGTATATGTGATCCAATGCTTTCGGAGTCACTGGACCTGACGATAGCATTTTTATCTTTTAAAGTCATGGAAAAATTAAATTCGCTTTAAAAGGCTCGAAAAATGAATCCTTTTAATAATAATGATTAGTGACAATTTTTAAACTATTTAATTATTTATATTGTAGTTTATCCTTGTTCGTTAAAAAATAAAAAGAGAATTTTTTTAAAACGTTCGCAGTTTTGTGTCTAGTTCATAAGACACAAGGATTAAGAAAAAATATAAAAATAAGAATTCTTAAAAAGCGTAATATGTAAATTGTACATGTGATCCAATGCTTTTGGAGTCACTGGATCTGACGATAACATTTTTATCTTTTAAAGTCATGGAAAAATTAAATTCGCTTT